CGCTTCCCCCCCCCCCCCGCACTCGCACTCGCACTCGCTCTCGCACTCGCTCTCTAGCGCACACACACACACTGTCCCTGGCACCGGCGTCCGAGGCCGCCACAGAAAACCAACACGGCGGCGCGCTTGGCCATATAAAGTTGCAGACCGAACTGGTGATCTATTTCCTGCCCGAGCTCCAGCACCTTCTATACTCGACCGCCAACATGACCGCCACTACCGTCCCCGTCATCGCCAACGTGGCGCAGCAGATCGAGATCGATGTCGACACGCTCGATGTGGCGCTCACGCAGCAGCTCAAGTCGCTCGGCGTGCAGCCCAACGACATGACCTCGAACCAGTTCATCGTCGCCGATGCACTTGCGCTCGAGCCCAACCAGCTCATCCTCGAGCAGGTCATCCGCGAGAGCCCAGACGCCGACTGGCTCACCATCCTCGACCGCGTCGTAAGTAATCTCGAGGCAGAGCGACCAGAGCGAGGCGGCTGACCTTTTTCATTGTCGTTTGTGCATCTTTAGAGTGTCCGCCTTTGCTCGCTCAACCTGCCCAACATCGCCGGTCGTGCGTTGCTGCAGGCCTCACCCGCAAACGCGTACAACGCCGAGGGCATCGTCAAGCATGCGCTCGCCTACTGCCGCGAGTTCGAGGCGGTGGGTATCTCCAAGGACCGTTTCTGCATCAAGATCCTCACCACCGGCCCCGGTATGCTTGCCGCCCAGATCCTCGAGAAGCAGCACGGCATCAGCACGCTCGGCACGGGTCTCTTCTCGGTTCCCCAGGCGCTCGCCGCTGCTCAGGCTGGATGCCTCTACATTTCGCCCTATTTCAACGAGATCCTCGCGCACTTCACACCGGTGCCCGAGCGTCTTGTGTACGAAGTGCCGGAGAAGCAGCACCCCATGTCGGCGCGCATGGCGCACATCTACCAGGCCTACCGCGAGCTGGTGCTTGCCGGCAAGTGCGCGCAGCCACCGGTGATCAAGTCGGCGAGCTTCATCGCGATGAACGAGGTGCTGGCCATGCCCGCGCTCGGCTCGCAGCAGGCCACCATCCTGGCGCCGACGCTCGTCGAAATGTGCTCGCTCCAGACCGCCGCCGCGCCCGCGGGTGCGTACAAGCCCAGCAAGACCTACTCGCTCGAGCTGCCAGCCACTACGCTGCCCCTGCTCAAGGTCGACCCGCTGCGCGAGGATGGCAAGGCCCAGACATTCGACCTCGCAGTCGACTACCTCGCCAACAACGCTGCTGAGCTCGAGAGCGCGATTCAGCAGGACCCCGAGACGGCAAGGAGGATCAAGGACGCCGTCGAGGTCTTCCAGAAGGCTGAGCTCCAGGCGCGTGCGCTCATCGAAACCGCCATGGCCAAGGTCAAGGCTTCCGCTTGAATCCCTCCCCTTTTTGCTTTTGCTCGAGGATGCTATGGTCAATAGAACGGATTGCAAGGATTCTAATCTAGTGCGAGATGGAAGCGTTCTTGTTGTAGATGTCGTTGTACGTGCCGAGTGCGGTGCGCTCGAGCGTGCTGGCGTCTTTGCCGGTGAATCGGAGCGGATCGAGTTGCTTCGCCAGCCACTGGTCCTCTTGCTTCAGCTGCCCGGTCAGGATATCAGCCACGAGCTGAGCCGACGCAGCTGCATGCGTCACCCACACAGCCGAAGCTACGAACAGACCTTGGCCCACTTGGCCTACGAGCGGCATGCCGTCGGGCGTCACGCTAAAGATGCCGTTGAACACGCGCTCGGCACCTGCGCTCTCGGGGCTCACCTCGAACTGGCGTGCTATTTCGTCGGGCAACAGCGAGAGTGCGTCTTGGAGCACGGGTTCAAACGCGGTGTGCCAGGCTCCGTATGCCGAAGAGGTGAGGCTCGAGTTGGCGACGGCGATGGGATCGTGTGCGTACGAACCAATGCCGTCCTGTGTGCCGTGGTCGCGGACGTATACGTGGGCCTCTGGATACCGCACAAACGGCGTCTTGAGCGACCGAGGCTCGCGTGCAGCAGTATAGGCATACGGGTGCGCTACTGGCACCACAGGCAGCGAGCCGAGCAAGTCGCGCGTCCAGATGCCCGCACACACCACCACCTTGCCAGCCTCGATCCTGCTGCCGTCCTTGAGCACGAGCGTGTGCAGAGATTCGTTGGATTCGATTGCGCATACGTCGGCGTTGAGCAGGAGGGCGCCTTTGGAGCGAGCCTGCTGCTGCTCGTGCCGCGCAATGTGCTGCGCATTCGCAGTGCCGTCGTTGTGAAACCAGAGCGCTCCGATCCCATCCCCACTTTCTGGCGATCGAACGAAGAATGGTGCTTTCTCGACCGCCGTGTGCGTGCTGATGATCTCGGCGCTCAGTCCGGCACCTTTGGCGGCGGTGCATCGTTGCTCCAGCGACCGAGCGCCCTGGTCCGACTGAGCGATCTCGAGCCCTCCGACAGTGCTGAATCCGCCAGGGATGTCGAGGTACTTGCGCACGGTCCGTACGGCAAGCGTGGTGAGCGCAGGAATCTGGTTGTACTGCCCAACATAGCCGGGCGCATGGCCGGTCGAACCGGGCAGTCCCTCGACGTCCCGATCGATCAGGATGATGCGATCTTTGCAAGGGTGAGTGGCGAGTATGTGCGCCAGACACGACCCAACGATGCCCGCACCGACAATGACGACTCGCTCGGCAGGCGCAGAACCAGAAAGGGTTGAGAGAGTCATGGTGCACGAGATGGTGATAAGGGCAACCACAGAGCACCGAAGGCGGCTTTAAAAAGGGTCCGGCTAGCCGGCGAGCCTTGATCGTCTCGGCACAACTTCGGTCGGCGTGGCTCAACACGTGGGGGGGACGCAAACCCGGTTGTTGCACAAGACTCGCACGCCTCTGTGCGTGTGTTTGGCGGTGCCAAGCCCCCGTTGCTGTGCATCTGCAGCTCATCGTACGGATACCGGAAGTCGGCAGTCTCGGACTTCGCTCAAAGCTCTTCTTGCGCGCAGCAAAACAAGTTCTTCCAGCACGAAAATATAGATGGACCAGTGGGAGCTACTACGAGGGACGACGCTCAATACGTGACGGAGTAGATGCTGACACCCGAGCCGTTGAAGCCGTCCGGCAGCTTGGCTCCTCTGGCGCTGACGGTGTAGCCTTTGCCGTTTCTGGCGTCCTCGAACACAAACTGCGCCGCCTTGGATCGGTCGGTGGTGAGCTTGGCGTTGGCGGCGACAAACTGGCTCGGCTGGGCGGCGGGGCTGAGGTAGAAGGCATCGTTCTTGGGTCCTGCACCGGCGGCGTGGACTACGAAGCGCTGTGTAGCATCGGCGTGGTCGGGTGTGGCGGTGGACACCGAGAGCGAGCCGGTCTTGGCGTCCCAGGCGAGGGCATGGTTGGCCTTCTCAAACACGTAAAAGTGGCCCTCGGAAGGGATGCCGCGGACGTGCTTGAAGCCGTGCTCAAGCACCCAGGCATCGTCGTCCTTTTGCGTGTACGGCACGTCGGGCTGGCCACCGCCGTACTTTGCCTTGCACGTCGAGGCGCCGTTGTACTGGCCGTTGCGGTCCTGCGTCGCCTGGCGCACCTCGGGCAGCTCGGGCACCGACGTGTCCGAGCGCGAAAAGTCGAACATCGAGGTGAGGTCCGAAAGGCTCTGACGACGCCAAGCCGTCATGCTCTCCTGCTCAAACGGCTTGCCGATTGCCTTGGCCCACTGCTCGACGAAGAGGATCTGCGACTCGTGCGCTGCTGGCTCCGAGAACACGCCGCCGCTTCGTGTGAACGGAGAGACGACGTAGAAAGGCACGCGGAAGCCGGGGCCCACGGGCTGCTGGCCCAGCGTCTTGTTGTAAGGGTCGATGATCCACTCGTTGGGCGCCTCCGAGATGGAAGGAAAATCCGCCATCACATGGTCCGCCCAGCCGCCCGTCTCGTCGTACGAGATGATGAGCGCAGTCGAGCCGTACTTTTCGCCCTTAGTGACAGCATCGACGACCTTCTTCTGCAGCCATGCACCGTCAAGTGGGCCATACGGAGGATGTTCGCTCAGCTCGGTGGGCCCAATAATGAAGCTCACCTGCGGCAGCTTGCCCTGCTCCGCATCCGAGTAGAAGCGCTCGAGCCCTTTGAACGCCATGCCCTTCTGGGCGAGCGCCGAGTTGTTGGGCGCCTGCTGGAACTGGTGGAACCATGCGAGCGGATTGTCGTCAAAGTTGTCCGTGTCCTGGTACAGCTGCCACGAGATGCCGACCTGCTCGAGATACTCGGGCAGCGTCTTCCACTTGTATGGATAGCACGAGTAGGTAGAGCCGTCGTCGGCCGTCTCGCACCCGGGCGTCTCGGAGTTGTCGATGGCAGGTCCGCCGAGGTTGTTGCGCGCCTGATCGATGCCCATGGTCCCCGCAAGCCACGAGATGCGGTTCGGACTCGTCGAGGTGATGACCGACTCGTGGTAGTTGTCCGCCATCGTCCAGCCCTCGGCCACGGCAAAGTGCAGCGGAATGTCCTCCCGCTTGTAGTAGGCGAGCGAGTAGGGCGTGTTCTTGGTCGCCCACTTGTTGACGTTGCCATTGTCATACGCCGCGTGGTTCTGCTCCCATCCGTTGGAGCCGGCGACGGAGCACTGCCATCGATCGTTCGAGTTGCCGCCCTGGTGGTTGATGTACCAAGGAAGCAGGTGGTCCACGCCAGCAGGAGGCGCAGGTGAGCCCTTCTCCGTGGTGGCCACCGACACCGGGTTGTAGAACGACGGCTTGTTGGTGTCTTTGCTGATGACAACGTTGGGGTCACCGAAGCCTCTCACGCCTGCGGCGGTTCCAAAGTAGTGATCAAACGCCCTGTTCTCCTGCATGAACAGGACAATGTGCTCGATCTGGGTGATATCCTTGGCCGCAGCTGCTGCCCAGCTGGGCAGCTCGGCGGCGACAAAGGCTAGGAGCGCGATCCACGAGGCTTTTTTGAGCCACACCATGCTGATTGGCGTTGCTGCGGATGAAAGGAGTTCGTCGCACGGAGTGGGCGTAGCACATTGACGGACCGTATGCCGCTTATAAGGGACTGCGCGCTTGGCTGAAGAGCGACGGGGTCTACATTAGGGTCCAGGCAGGTGGCCAGGGCGAGTGCGAGACAGACGGAGCGAGACTGCCGGCGGAACGTGGACGCGGACGTTGCGGTACCGGGATGAAGACGAGAGGCGAGCAACAGGCGAGGAAGGACATCTGCACCGAGGTGCAAGGTGAGGGCACGTTGACGAGCTGACCGTGAGTCCCAGTCGACACCACGGCAGCGGCAAGTTGGGCCGGCGGAGTCTGGTTGTCAAAGGTCGCGAAGATTCAGGGTTCAGCGAGCGGTGCTGGTGTGGTGGGCGCCCAAGCGAGGTGCAGCTGCATAGAACTAGGCGTCTTTTGGAAGGAACGTGTGGGTCGGCTACAGCTCGCCTACCAAATCCATCTCGACAGCCGCCGCAACGGGGGCTCTGTCTCTCTTCTGCACGCTCTCGGCTGTGGCTTGAACGACTGGCAAGAAGTGACAGTAGCGATAGAGGCTGCGTTGCGAGGCCCACTGCCGGAACGTGCTGCACCTTGCCACCCTCGGCGATTTCTCCGGTCCATCTCTTCCGACCAAGAGCGAAGGAGGTATCGCACGGATGACAAACACCATGTGCCGGTGGCAAGAGCTACTCCACCATCTGTGAGCTCCTCATCATCATGATGCAAGCTTGCGCGCGGACATGACGTCCAGCAATCCAATCGAGCGCGTTCGCTTGGTCGGCTTTGCTACGCTAGCCTTGGTTCTCCTCGCCTGGGGCTCCTTGCAATGGTCTGCATTGTTGCGTAGCAGCCAGCCAGATGCACCGACACTCCCCTGGTGGCGACACAGCCACGATGCATCAACAATCGGCGACAATGATGGTCGAGACGCACCTCGCACGCGCTACCACGAGTGGAACATCAGCCGCGCCGACATTGCCCCCGACGGCGTCACTCGGCCCATGATCCTCGTCAACGGCCGGTTTCCAGGCCCTCACATCCAAGCCAACGTCGGCGATACTCTAGTCGTGCACGTCCGGAACCAACTCTCTCACAATGACTCGTCGTCGTTTGCAGGGTGGGACCAACGCGCGCGCTCCCTCTTCTCGACCAAGGTCGATGATCACTATCCGCCAGGCAGCGATGAGCGCATTGCCATCCACTGGCATGGTCTGTCGATGCGAGGCAGCCCCGAACAGGACGGCGCTCCTGGATTCACCTCGTGTGCTACGCTGCCTGGCGAATCCCACACCTATCGCTTCCGCATCCTGCCCGAAGATGTCGGCACGCATTGGTGGCACTCTCACGCCGGCATGTCGCGCGCAGATGGCCTCTGGGGCACATTCACCGTGCTCGATCCGCAGCAGAGCGAGCGGAAGCGTCTTGCTGCCCATGCTGCTGCGACTGGTGTAGCACCTCTTCGCTGGGACCATGAGCAGGTCGTCACGCTCGGCGACCACTACTTTGCGCCGGGTATCGACCAGATCTCGTGGTTCATCTCGCGGCACTCGCTCGGGTTTGAACCCACGCCGGACAACATCCTCATCAATGGTCTGGGTCGGGTCGACTGCACCAAGCTGCTCGGCTTGAGCAAGCAGGAGTGCACCACCAGGTCCGACTATCCAGCCATCGCGCTGCAACGGAACAAGACGCACCGTCTGCGCATCGTCAATGTCGGATCAGTCGGCCATCAGACATTCTCCATCGACCGCCATGCTCTCACGGTAATCGAGGCGGATGGCTCGCTCATTGTGCCTTACAACACCACGCGGCTGTCGGTCGCCCCCGGCCAGAGATACTCGGTGCTCGTGCGTGCTCCTCAGACGGGCGAGTTGGGCGGTTCGTTCTGGCTGCGCACCGAGATGCATCACGAATGCTTCAACATGCCCAATCCCAATCTCGCCGACGAAGCCAAGGCGATCGTGCGATACGTTGACGAGGCTCCAGATGCCGCGGCACACGCAGTGTGGTCGTCGTCCGAGCTCGACCTTCGCGATGGACAGCGTCGACGCGGCATGCAGCTTGGCTCTCGCCAGGCACTGCCGCAGACGCAGGCGTGGCCGCTGCGAGGCGGAGAGTTGCCGTGCCACGACGAGCCTGCCTCGCTGCTGCGCCCGCTCCGCGTCGGCGATCGTGCTGATGCTCCCTTGACACCCAGAGTCGATGTCGAGAACGGCGATATGCGCACGGCTGTCACCGTAACCATGCCCAAACTCGATCGCAACGGCCTTGTTCCTGTATCTTGGATCAATCGGACGCAGTGGAAGGCGCCTAATTCACCCCTCCTGCACTCGTTTGCGCTGCAGTCCCACACCGCCAGTGGTGCTGATCCAGTTGACCCCAGGCGTCAGACGGTGCTGGTGCCTGGCACGTCGGAGCCGGTGACGCTCGAGCTGGTGATCAACAATGCGGACGAGGCGGCGCATCCGTTCCACCTGCACGGCCACCGTTTCCACGTGGTCGCGCTGTCCGAGTCGAGCGTTGGCGTGGGCGCCTACCAGCCTCACGGACCCAACGATGATGCGCAGTGGTTCAACGAGGCCGAGGCGGTGTACCGCGACACGGTGTCGGTGCCGCGGCGTGGGTTTGCGGTACTGAGGTGGAAGTTGGACAATCCGGGCGTGTGGGCAATGCACTGCCATGTGCTGGTGCACATGCAGACCGGTATGGCACTCGCCGTCGTCGACCAGCCCCACCGCATCGCCCAGCTCGATTTCGCACGCAACCTCACCACCGCCGCGTATCCAAGCGCAGATGTGGAATGAATACGATTCGATGACAGTTGCAGATGAAACACGGTGACCATTGTGAGAGGCGGAGACCCTTGAGGCGAGAAAGTAGAGATGCAGCCGGAATATCTACCAAGCGCAGTGCTGTCAACACAAAATCGAAGGGTCAGTATTCTGCTTCGTCAAAGGATGGGGAGGGACGAAAAGACTTACGCCGCCATCGATGCGCATGTCACTTCCCGTCATGAAGCTGCTAGCTTCGCTGGCGAGGAAGACAGCGGCGCCCTTGAACTCGCTCGGCTCGCCGATGCGGTGCATGGGGTTATCGTTGGTCCACTGCTCGAGCAGATGCGGCTCCTTGGCAAGCAGCTGTTCGACCATCTGTGTGTTGACGTATCCGGGGCTGATGGTGTTGACGCGGATCTTGTGTTCGGCCAGCTCAACGGCGGCGCAACGACACAGCTGATGCACTGCCGCCTTGGAAGAGTTGTACGCCGTTCCGAAGAGGCCGCGGTTGGAGACGTAGCCGGACATGGAGGCGATCAGGATGATGCTTCCGCCCGTGGCATGGTGCTTCATCGCGCGAGCTGCGGCCTGCGTGACAATGAATGTGCCTGTGACGTTGACACGAAGTACCCAGTCAAAGTGAGCTGGGTCAAAGTCAAGCACGGGGCCCTGCTTCTGGACTCCGGCGGCGTGGACGACCGTGGTGAAGGGTCGGGCGGCGTCGGCGGCGAGCTGGGCGATCTCGGTGATGATCTCGTTGACCGCGGGCGCGTTGGTGATGTCGGCCTGCACGTAGGATGCGCTGAGCTTGAGCTCTTTGGCGCGCGCCTTGAACATGAGCCAGTCAGCTGCCGTGGTCGGCTCGTCGAGCAGATCCATGCATACGACGTGCGAACCAGCCTCGAGCAACGCAGCTGCCAGCGTCAGCCCAATCCCACGAGCACCTCCCGTCACTGAAAGAACGAAAGTGAATGGTCAGCACGTTGCGCTTGCTCAAGCTGCTAAGACGAGAGCGTTGGGGACCTACCGATGCTCGTGGTGTTCTTGAGCGTAAAGAGGCCGTCGCCTTCCACGGCGCTGCGCTCGCCCTGCGCCGCGGCCATGACCGCCTCCTGCACGGAGACCAGTCCGTCCACTGCCGGAACTGAAGTAGCTGTAGGCATGGGGACCATGTTGAGTGTCGCTGGAATGATTCGGTGTGAAAACTTGCGTGTAGAGGAGCGAGGGAATCTTGAAGATGGTGTGAAGGGAGGGTGAAGATGCAGCGTGGGTATTATGGCTTCCCCCACAGGCGGCATCTGAGAGGTTGCTCGCCCACGCCGGTGCACCGATAAGCAATGGAGACTTTCCGAGGTCGGACGGATCTTGACCGCCGAGCAAGGGGTCGATGTTCGCCGGTGCGGAGGATTCGCCGTCTCGGTGGCAATGTGGCAAAGTGTGGGTGGTGCCCCAGACCATCCTTCGGAAAACCGCAGCGTCGGAAAATACTTTGTACTGATGGCGCCGAGCAAAAGAATTCATTTTCCGTCGTCGGGCGTCGGCCATATTGTTAATATTGCCGTTGGATAGCCGGCTGGCCGGGTCCAAAGGCGAGGGAGGAGTTGGGACAAAGACGGCGACATCCATCTTCCGTCCCCCGCGAGGATGAGTGTGGGGGGAAGGTCGTGCAACCCCACCTCCGCTTCCCCCCCACATTTCTTCCCCTTCGATGCAACGCTCGCCTCCCACATGTCGGTGACGCATCCACATGGCGTGAAGGACAGCAACATGCATCGTCACAGCTCGGCGAGCTCATGCCTGTCTCGCATCAGCGGCATACCTCGTTGCAGAGTAGCAATTGATGAGGGACGACCAAAGCAAGCTCGGTGGAAACCTCGGGATAAAAGTGTTGGTGGTCATTTTCCGATAGGACCCTGAAAGTGGGTGGCGGTGGAGCGGGAATTGTTCGTGGACGGCGACCATGTTTTGGCGAGTGGGTCCACTGCTGCTGCTGCTTTCCCCGCTGCTTTCGCCGCTGCCGAGCAGAGTGCGGAAGACCGGCTTTGCAAACGCTCCGCACCCATGACCACGCTGGACACTCCTCTCCCACAATCGTCCGAGGCCAGCCAGCTTGCCCGTTGGACGCTGCGGCGCCACCCTTCCGCATCCGCTCCAACCTTGGACGCCGACTCGCCCACTCTGCGCCTTGTTTGAGATAGCAAGACCGTCTGCTCGGACCGCAACATGAGCCTGCGTGCGGCAGCTCCCGCCTCCTCGCGGTGGGAGAGGCTCGGCGGTTTATAACCCTGGCGGCCCCCCACACTCCGCTCCGTCCCATCAAGCAAGGGTTCCACTCCACCTCTCCCACCGACACTCGCTCGCACGCTCTCCGCACTCTCAGAGGTGTAGCGCTCCCCGCATCAAGTCGCAACACGATAAAAGGCGGTGCTGAGCTCGATCAGCGCCACTCTGCAGATTACAGACCCAGGCGAACACTTCCACCACCCTAGTCTTCGTAACAATGGCGCCTGCAGCAACTCTTTCCGGCTCCACCGAGCCTGCTTCCGCGCCGGTGTCCACCAAGCAGCTCATCGCCGCGGGCATTGCCGCCAACACGGTCGAGCAGAACGAGTCGGTGCTGCGCGAGATCCGATGCCTTGCTGCCGACCTCGTCCAGCAGTTCAACGGCGGCCATCCGGGCACTGCCATGGGAGCAGCTTCGATCGGCATGGCGCTCTGGGGTAGCGTGATGCGCTTCAACCCGGCCGACGGAACATGGGCCGACCGGGACCGCTTCGTGCTCTCGGCGGGTCATGCGTGTCTGCTCCAGTACATCTACCTCCATCTCACCGGATACAAGGCATGGACCATGGATATGCTCAAGCGATACCACTCGACCGATTTCGAGACAAGCCTCGCCGCGGGGCATCCCGAGATCGACCCGGAGAACGGAATCGAGGTCACCACGGGTCCGCTCGGCCAGGGCATCGCCAATGCCGTCGGTCTCGCCATGGGCTCCAAGCACATGGCCGCCCACTACAACAAGCCGGGCTTGGAGATCGTCGCCAACACGGTGTGGTGCTTCACCGGAGACGGATGCATCGCAGAGGGCGTGGGTGTAGAGGCGCTTTCGCTCGCAGGTCATCTGGGCCTGGACAATTTGGTGCTGGTGTACGACTGCAACAAGATCACCGTCGACGGCAACATCGACAGCTATGCCTCGGAAGACCACCCTGCCAAGCTCAAGAGTATGGGCTGGAACGTCCTCCAGGTCGAAAATGGATCCACCGACGTCGTCGCCATCGTCGATGCGCTCGAGCAGGCCAAGAAGCTGCGCAACGGCAAGCCGACGTGTGTGCAGATCACGACGATCATCGGGTACGGATCCAAGAAGCAGGACACCAACCCTGTACATGGAGCTGCACTGGGTGAGGACGACGTCAAGCACGTCAAGCGCACGTTTGGCTACGCCGAGGAGCAAAAGTTCCACCTCTCCAAGCAGGCGTACGACACGTTTGCCAGCGCCAAGACCAAGGGCGAGCAGCTGCAGGCGAGGTGGAATGCCACCTTTGCAGAGTACACCAAGGCCTTCCCCGAGCTGGCGCGCCAATTCGAACAGCGCAACACCCACGGCGCTTGCGACGAGCTCGTGGGTGGCCTGCCCAAGGAGTGGACGCAGATGCTGCCGGCCAAGAGCGAGCTACCGAGTGGCGCCATGCCTACGCGCAAGGCTTCCGGCATCGTGGTGCAGGCCTTGGCACCTCGCTTCCCGCAGTTCATGGTGGGCAGCGCCGATCTGCTCGACTCGACCTTCGTCAGCTGGAAGGACATGGTCGAGTTCCAGAGCCCCAACAAGCCGCAGCTCGGAGGCAGCTTTGCCGGGCGTCAGATTCGATACGGCATTCGCGAACACGCCATGGCGGCGATCGCCAACGGACTGGCAGGCTACTCGAGCCATGGCTTTGTGCCCGTCATCTCGACGTTCTTCATGTTCTTCCTCTATGCCGCACCGGCCATCCGCATGTCGGCGCTGCAGAAGCTCCGGCTGATCGGTATTGCCACGCACGACTCGATCGGAATCGGAGAGGACGGTCCGACGCACCAGCCGATTGGACTCGCGTCGTTCTTCAGGGCAGTGCCCAACGTGCAGTTTATGCGCCCGGCTGATGCCGAGGAGGTCATGGGTGCGTGGACGTTGGCGCTGGAAGCCAACAAGACGCCGTCGATCTTGTCGCTCAGCAGACACGCGCTGCCTCTGCTCCCCGGCTCGGACCGAGAGGCGGTGCGTCGTGGAGGCTACATTGTGCACACGGCCGAGGCGCGTGCCGATGCGACGCCGCTCACCCTCGTGGCTACGGGAAGCGAAGTGTCGCTGGCCATCGAAGCGGCCAACATCCTTGCATCGGGCGAGCTTCAGCAGTCGTACACGGTCAACGTAGTGTCCATGCCGTGCATGACGCTCTTTGACGCACAGCCAGCCGAGTACCGCCACTCGGTGATCCCGCCTACGCAGCTCTCGGTTGCTGTAGAAGCATGGGCTTCGCTGCCTTGGCCAAGGTACACGGCTGCTTCGCTGTCGATGCACACCTTTGGCCACAGTGGCCCGCAGCAACAGCTGTTTGAGATGTTTGGATTCCATCCCACCAACATTGCTGCCAAGATCCACCAACACGCCCAGTCGCTCACGCGCAACGGCACCCTCGTGCTCCCGCGCATCGGAGAGTTTGCCGAACTCCTCCTGGGCTACGCCAAAGGCCACTGATCCCTCCCATCCTAGTGTTTGTGTTGACGCAACTGTCTCGATATGAATCCCATTGCTTTTTTCGGTGCCAGAGTCGAGCGAGGCGAGTCACGGAAGCGGACGCGAGAGGAAGGGGAGAAAGTGCGAGAGGTCGTCGGGATGGCTAATGTCGCTGATCTCCACCAGCGCACCGTGCTGCGGCATCGAGGTCGCGCCGACGCTATGCTCAAAGGACGCGGCGTGCGAAGTCGAGGGGTATCCGGGCGCAACCAAGGCTGTGCTGGCCGGACGCGAGGGTGGCGCGCGCAGAGGATGGTGCGCCGCGACGCCTGCGCTTGCAGTTGGTTTGCCCGGCTGCGTGGGCGGTGAGGTCCAGCTGGGCGCCGAGTTGGACGAGCCCGAGGTGGTGCCCGAGGCGGGGTTGGAAGAGTCCTCGAGGATCGACATGGGCTGCTCGGTCGAAGATACGGTGGAAGCGGCCAGGCGCAGTAGCACTTTGAGTTCCGAGAGCGAGAGCATCGTCTCTCCCGCCGCTGATCCGCCCGCGCTGGCGTTGCCGGCAGGCGCGGCGTCGTGCGTCTCCTCGGTCTTGCGCGCCTTGAGTGCATTGGCGATCCACGTGACGCCGAGCCAGGTCTCGGTGAGCTTGTCGAGCGCATCGACGCAGCGCTGGTACGCCTCGAGGTGCGACTGGACGAACAACGACCTAGCCCCCTTGCCTCCGTCGTCGCGCAACCGCGCGCGCAGCGTGGCGAGCGACCGAGGCGCAGGACTGCCTCTCCCGCTGCTGTTGCCGCTGCGTCTGCCTGCGACGGTGGTGCTGGCGAGCTGTTCGTGCCTCTGCAGCGTCGCCGCCATGCTGGCTTCGAAACCGCCGGCGAGGCAAAAGGCCTGGTTGGTAAAGGGACAGCCGAGGTGGATCATGGGGTCGACGGCGTTGGCGTAGAGCACGGCGTTGCGGATCTGCTGCGATGCATGGCGCAGGATCTCGCGGCTCTCGTCGGACGCCACGGGCTTGGCTCGCAACCGACTCAGCGGCAGGCGGTTCATGAGCATGAGCAGAAGGTGGAACCACAGATGCAGCGAGAGCAAACAGCGCGGCTCGCTCGAGGTGCGCAGTTGGTCTTCGCCCAGCATCAGGCTTGCGGGCAGCGCGTCGTAGTCGCCAATCATGTCCGCCTCGAGCTTGTCCAGCTCCTCGAGCGGTTGCGGATCGTCGTCCTCGCCCAGGTTGTTGGCGATCTCGGCCAAAGCGCCTGCCTTCTGCATGAGCCGCGTGAGGTGGCCAAACACCGACGGCCGGGTGGCCGACGAGCTACGACTCGAACCCGTCGCCTCGCTTGCACCGTCGTTGGTCTCTTTGCGTGCCCGATGGATGGGGAGGACGGTGCGTGGATAGTCGAGTGTGATTTCCTGGTCCTTGAGGCTGGTAGGCCGACCTGTGCCGATGGAGAGCGTGCGGTCGAGGATGAAGACGCACCAGAAGAGCGGTTGAGGTTGAATGAGGTCTCCCGCGTCTGCGCGTGGTGCGGCGGCAAACCAGTTGTTCTTGGCTCGACGATGCAGGCCGAGGTCGATGGACATGCGGATGGCCATGCCGGCAAACATCCAGAGCCCCGAGTCCGAGTTGACGCCAAACTCGTGCCACGCCAGCAGCACCAGTGTCGCCACCGTGGTAACCGAGGGCAGCGTGATGGACGACATCATGTACGATTTCGCGCGCTCGGCAAAGCGCAGCCCGCGCGAGTGCGGTTTGGCCGAGCCGAACACCGAGTCGGCGGTGGCGTCGGGGTCGTTGGAAGCATTGACCGAACCACCTGTGCCGGCGGCGGGTGACAGCATGGTAGTTTCGTACGGCTCGACGAATCGGGCGGCAAGCGCACACATGGCGTTGATGAGCGCCGGATTCACCTGGCTGCCGCGTGCCAGCTGCGCCTCGAGGGTGGTGCGGCTGAGAAAGGGAAAGTGGTCTGCGAGGCGAAGGAAGAAGCGCGCGATGAGCAGATCTCGCAGAGGCGCGTCGGGGAGGTCCTCTGCGTACGCTGCAGAGGAGAGAGCGGAAGGCGTATGGGCCTCGTGCATGGCAGGGAAAGCGGTGCGGTGGGCGGCGCTGGTGGACGCGGCGGCAGGATTGGGCGAGGGCATGAAGCGCGATGTGCCGAGCAAGGAATGCAGGTTGAGCGTCTGTGGATCGAGCCCGGAAGCGGCGGGATCAAAGAGGTTGGTCCGGTTCTGGGCCTCGATGAGCATCGACTCGAGCTCGGCGGGGACGCGGATGCGGACGCTGATCTTCTTGAGCCCCTGCGTGACCGCGGTGGCGCCGCTGAAGGAGCGAAAGTAGTGGAGCTGGATGATGCGGTCCTTGCCCGCGGGTGCCGCATTGCCTGAGGGTGCGGTCTGGTGAAGCAGGTCGGCGAGCATGGGGTCAAAGGCAGCCACGTCGGAAGCGGTGGACCAGATGTTGTGCGCGGTGGTGGTGTCGTGAAGGCGCGTGGCGTCGGTGGTGGATGTGGCCGACTGACGTTCGAGCTCGTCGAACCACGCCACTTTGCCAGAGAGAGCCTCGATGAGCTCGTTGGGCAGAAATTGAACGTCATGTGCGGCGGCGTCGGGCACCGAGGTGACAACCGAGGCGGCAGGGATGGCAGGCCATGTGCTCGAGTGCG